ATCCTGCATCCCCCCCTCCCCCCCCCCCTTTGATTCCTCTCCAAACTAACTGAGATCATTGTCCATAGCTCATATAAGAACATGTGGGAACTACAGGCTATAAGACCTAGGAGTTGGTTAAGGATGAGAAATAAATAGTCCCACCTGGGCCACATCCATGCTGGAGTCACAGCTCAGTGGCCGGACAGCCGTAAGGTCATTGGACCCCAGCAAGGTGGAGATGATTCCATTTTGGTCAACCTTCCGGATCATGGTGGCATCAACGAAGTACATAAGTCCATTCTTGTCCACTGCAATACCTGGGGAGGGAAGCATGGGGATTTTTTTTATTTTGACAGGAGGATGGTTTGTAGAAGAGATGGGAGATGCCCTACCATGATGTGCTTGGACCAGTGACCTTTGTGGGATGGGTGAGTATCCTCAGAACAGTAGCTGTCAGTCCTTTAAAGGCAAACATTTCTCAAGGGCACTGTGCTGTGATGTGCAGGATTCCCAGGGTGTTAGCTGTATTCCCTCCACCAGTGACATCACCTTGAGCTGCAGAGGAACCAGGGCTACAAGTGAAGGTGGAAACAGCCCTGACTCTGCTCTCTCCAGAAAACAAGTTATTATCAACCTCCATTGCTCTAAAAAATGATTGGTAGTATATTATTGAAATACCCTTCACAACTAATCGTGACAACTACGCTGAGAGACAACGGTGCTTTCAGCCACAAACTCCCAATTCAAAATGTATCCTCCAGGAAGAATTCCCAATTAAGCCTTGACTCCAATCAGCACTCCAGTGCCCCCAGGGGACACAGAACCCTAGCGTTTCCCTGTCACAGCAGGACTGATAAGACACAGACTGCAGCTTCTATTTCTTTTGCATTTTCATTTCAGTGCCCAAGTACAAGGCTTGGCATCCTTAATCCATGCTGCAGGCTGCTTGCACAGTAGCTAAAAATGCTAACAAGAATTAGACCCTGATATGACTGCTCTTTAACCCCAAGCATCTTTAGTCCTTTCAAATAGACGATTATCAATTCCAAGAACTCCCCAGGACAGGAATCATGGAAGTAATACCCATGTTTTCTTATTTTTATTATTTATTTTAGTGTGTGTGTGTGTGTGTGTGTGTGTGTGTGTGTGTGTGTGGGTGTGGCCCAGAGTAAAGGGGGCTTTCTTATTTTTATTATTTATTTTAGTGTGTGTGTGTGTGTGTGTGTGTGTGTGTGTGTGTGTGTTCACGCTCAAGTGTGTATACATGTTTGTGTATGCACGAATGCATCTGAAGGTCAGGAGTCAATACTGGGTGCTATTTGCTTAATTTGTTGAGACAGAGTAGTTCCCTGAACCTGGAACCTGCCGACCTGATATAATCGGGGATTCCCTGTCTCTATACCTCTCCAGAATAGGGATTACAGGTGCGTACCACTGCAACTGTTTTTTTTTTTTATTACGTAAATGCCACATGTCCTTATGCTTGTGCCACAGATACTTTGCCAAGTAAGACATCTATCCAGTCCTCCCCAAATTCTTCTTGTTTTTTAACCTCTGAAGCTCAAGGACAATTTAATTAGGGTTTAAATGAAAAATACCCAAGGCAGGCAAGTTGTACATCTTGGCAGTTGCCTGGAGGAGGAAGACAGAAAGGAACAAGAAGAAGCCATGCTATTTAAGTTAAGCCAGCATGGAGGCTAGCCATGTGGAAGATAAGCAGGCACACGGCAGGGAAGGGGCTTTAGAGAAAAATTGGAAAGGCCCAAAGTATCAAATGGCCACTTAGGCTCGAGCCAGCTTCTGGAAGAAAAAGACAGAAGACAAGAAAAAGGAGAAGTTTCATCTTTCTGAGGGAGAGAGTCCCTTGGTTAGGAGATCAGATAGACCAATTGGATTAACTTAAGGAAGAAGACAAGGGCAGTAGTTCTCAACCTATGGGTCATGACCATTCACGGGGGATGCCTAAGGCCATCAGAAAACACAGTTATTTACATTATGATTCATAACAGTAGCAAAATTATAGCAATGAAAATAATTTTATGGTTGGGGGTCACCACAACATGAGGAACTGTATTAAAGGGTTGTAGCATCAGGAAGGGTGATCGGGAGGCAGAGGCAAGTGGATCTCTTGGAGTTCGAGACCAGCCTAGTCTACAAGCACTAGTTCCAGACAGCCTCCAAAGCCACAGAGAAACCCTGTCTCAAAAAAAGAAAATAATTTTATGGTTGGAGATCACCACAACATGAGGAACTGTAATAAAGAGTGGCAGTGTTGGGAAGGTTAAGAACCACTGATCTAGAGGTAGTTTGCTGTTTTTTTTGACTAAGAGGAAAAAACTTTGCCTCCCACTGAGCACCCCCACCCCAATTCTTAACTGCTACAGTTTTCTTGGGTATACACAACATGACAGACATGATGCCTTAGATTTTGGATACACTATTATCTGACATCAAAGTCTGGCATAGTGGGAGCTCCTGGTGGCCTCTGCTGTGTTTCTAGCCCCATATGACTGGCACTCTGACTGATGGAGCTAACACTGTCTTTTGGTTCTCTGTGATGGGCAGCAGCCAGAGGTCTCCAGGTATAGACTGCTATGTTTCCATAAGTGGGATATGTGGGAAGTAAGGTTTACTTTAATAAATTAGCTTGAAATCACCCACATATACCCAGGAGCCTCGCAACAAATGATCTTAGGAAAAAAAATGGTATCTTAGACTACAAGGATTCGCTCAGCTTGCAGCAGGCTCCGTATGGGTTAGAGGGGTCTCCTTCTGTGGTCTTTACCTCGAGGGCTCATCAGGGTTGCATCCACAGCCTTCCCTCCATCCCCACAGCGGGCTTCATCAAAGGGCAGACACTGTTCACCAGTCCCTGCCACAACCTCTGAATTCCCAGCCAGGTCCTTGGCTCCACTCAGAGACTTGACTCTGTAGATTCGGCGACTGTTGGTGTCAGAAACGTAGAGGGAGCCAGTCACAGGGTCCACAGCCAAGTAGTATTTGTGTCCTGGGCTGTTGCTTTAGGAGAAGCACAAAGAGAAAAGAAGAAGGGACTATGCAGCTGGCCTCTTGGGTCAAAGGTGACAAAAATCCTAGTGAGCTTCCTACCTTCTCTAGTGTCATTTTATTTTAGTGACCTTGAGTTATATTTCAACACATCATGGCTCCCAGGTACTCATGATTAGGCTTAAGTTTCTCATGCTGTTTTGAGATTTGAAAATTCCCATCAAAGTAACAGGCTATTGCTTCATTTAACTGGCACAAAAGACCCCACTCCAGTCCTGTTTTGGTGAGCAAGGATAGTCACTCAATGCCAGCTTCATGTATTTCCCACGGGCTTCACATGTTGTCTCATGGGATTTAGGAACCCAATCCCCCTGTGATAATGTTCTCTTTTTCATCTCTGCCTCCACAAGACCTCCGAGATCATGAACACTGGAGCATTCTGGAGTTTTCTAAGCTTGTGATGACCAGCTCCCCAGAGCCATCACCAATCCTTGGCCTTAGAGCTGATTGTCCCTAGTGTCTATGCAAATGAAATTGGTATTTACTGCAAAGTGTAGTTAGCTTGCCATCGTGTCCAATACTTGACCAGGATCCTGTCCAAACCACTGTCCAACATCTGAATTACCAGGGAAGAGATGCAGCTTTCAAGTGCTGGATTAATACCGGGGCATGAGTCCTGAGCCTTCCCTAATTGCTAATGTGTGTGAAATAGACGAGGAGGCTGGGGACCCTGGGGCCTGCATGCTTCCTCTGCTATGCCCCTCAGTGTCCTTTGTGGGGCTGAACTGAATGGAGCACGACTTGGAGAACTGGCTCAGGATTAAGACATAGGAAATGCATGACTCAAAACCAGCTGGGGACCTCAGGTGAGTCTTTTGGCAACAATGGGCATTGTCTTTCTTATTTGGGAAATGACAAAAATCAACTCTGATCTTTTGCTAATGGTCCTTCCTGCTCAAAAGTCTATAACTTTCCCATTGGATCTGTTTCTCATGTTGGCTGGGACCAGAATGAGTCCTCATACCATTCCAACACTGATTATTCAAAGCCCTCCTCTACTGGGGGTAGTGGTGGGTGCTGCTTTCTAGCCCAGTGTGTGGGTTCCATGCACCTAGAATGAATGCGTCCTTTTTTTGTCCTAATATTTTTCGATTATGTTCTGGAATGATGGGGGGGGGGAGAGGTTGGAAAAGGTGAGTGTGAGGTGAGCATGATGCCAGTTGGTGTCAGGTGTATTTGTCCTGTGGACATTAGCTGGTAAATTACTAATTAAAACACTATCATTTGGGTTCTTGCCTGATTAAAAAAAAAAGTTGGGAAGCTATTTTTAGGAACTATTTGTGCGTTGAGGCCATCTTTAATTCCTGCTTCTCTTCGGGTTGCTATTAAGACTGATAATTGAACTGGAAGTCAAGGTCTTTTGAAAGAGTGGGCTACTTTGGGTTCTTTTCTTTCCCTTCCCTCTCCCTTTGTTTTTTGCCCTCCTCACTTTTTGGCCGAGTCATTAGAGAATATCCATATATGCAAAACAAATTAGGGCAGAAAGGAAAAAATCCATGCCATTTTTTAATTAGATGCTGCACCCTTTCACTAAATGAACAGTAGCTGGCATGATCCTTGGGAAGATCAAGGCGTTGCACATCTGTGCCTATGTATGAGCAAGATAATTAATTCTGGACTTTCTAGGGAACCCGATCTGAAGAGGCTTTTCCAAATCTCTGGCATAGGAGCTGACAGGTGGGGTTAGTTGTTGCTTGGGGAGACCATTCTTCTGGTAGCCCAAACTCTTTCTCACCATGATTCTCAGAGATCAGTTCAGGAACAATGGAAAGCCATGATCCAGATTGGTGGCTGTGCTGAGGAGCAAACATGGTTGGTCTGTGGGTTTCCAGGAAAGGGGGAGTCTTTGGGAGACATCTCTGTTCTTGGAAAAAAATTGGCCTCATTGGGGTATCTATAACCAGCCAATTTTGGGGTTTTCAAGATTACAAAGGCAGAATTTTTTCCCCCTTTCCTAAAAATGGCCATTCCTTAGAGAATGATGATTGCAGGTAATTTGAGTCTATTTTTTTTTTGTCCGATTCTGACCCATTGTCACAAAGGGTTTCATGGCTGGTGTTTCATGGAGTGGAGACAGCATTCATTCCATGAATAAGCTGCCCTTCCCCTTTTCCCCAAAAGTAAGCACGTCTTTTCTATCAGAACACTCATGCTGCATCCATTACATTGCAATGCTCACATACATACAAATGTATGTGTTGTGTATTCGTCAGGTGCATTCTACCATTATGATTTCAAATAACCTTGGATCAGCACGGTGACAGAGACCCGTTAGACAAAAAGTACTTGGTCTACACCTTTCAAACTATTCAAGGGTGATTTAACTTCATATAATTTTCAATGTATCTGACTGTTGGATTCATTCTGACCAGCAGATTGGCAATTAATGTGAGTGTGTGTGTGTGTGTGTGTGTGTGTGTGTGTGTGTGTGGTGTTTAAATGACCACATATCTAGGGGAAAATCATTAATGAGTTGAAAATGAGTTTTTGACCCGTTTCCAGTTCATTAAAGCTTTTGTGAACCCAGTCCAGCATTTACAAAAGCCCGAAGTTTGCCTCAACTGTTTAGCCCAATTATGGACCACACTGAGCAGCCGGGACAGAGGTTCACTGAGGGTTCATTATCTTGCTCTCGAATCTCCCGGAAATTCTAATTACTGTCAGCTTATTTGGTTGCTTTTTGACTGCATTTCATAATTGCAAAAGCTTATCATATCCACAACACACAATTAGCACATAAAAAAGTTACTGTATTTGGTACATAAAAATATACAACATTACACAGAAGCACAAAACAAGAAAGTGAACACAAGGAACAAACGAACCATAGCAAATTATATGGGAAAGAGCTCTTCATCTTACCTATGTTTAAACTCTTTATTTCTTTATAGAAAGAAAACAGAAGGAAAAAAGAACAAACAGTTAGCTGAGGAATTGATGATAATGCAAACATAACATTTTTTTGTTTGTTTGTTTCTTGTATAACAGAACCCTCCCCCCAAAAGCAATCCTTTTCATTTTTTTTTCCTTTTCTAACTGACAGTTCCTGGCTCAATTACTTGGGAAGAATCCCTGAATTTAGAGTCCTCCTGGCCCCTGGGAAATGTGCACAAGAATGCTTGGATTCTCTGACAGGCAAAGGTGGCTGTCATGGGACACAGGTGGCAACAGGTGAGACAGGACTTCTGGCTGATGAAGTGATGGCAGATGGGTTGCATCTCCGGGGCAATACCTGTTGACTAGTAATGTCTCCTGTGAGTGTGGTGGTAGGAGGCTTCTGAAGCCAAATTCAAGTTCAGCTATCAAGAACTCTGTGATTGATTTGTAATGTCTGACCTGGGTGTGGAAGGAGCATAGTTACACTTGTGATGCTGATTGCTACTGGTGTATTAAGAGTAAAGTCAGGACCACCCAAAAGACAGGACCCCAGCTCATACCAACTGTGTCTGGCAAAGGCTTTTGACCCCCAAACCAGTTTCTGGACCTGCTCCATGCCTCCTTGCTCCTTACCCTGTTTACTTGCATGACCAGCACACCCTCACACCCTATTCATTCTTTCTCACTGTAGCAGCCAAATACTATGCCCATTCATAAAATTCACAGGTAATACTATCCTCTTGTAATCAGAGCCAGAGACTCCAGTTAGCACATCACTTAGGAGAGTTAGAAAAAGAAAAAAAGGTTCGTTGCTTTCTTCTCCAAGAACAAAAAGACTTTTTCAATTTCAGCAGGAAAGTGGCTGAAATACAGCATTAAGGAAGAAGAGTAAGTGCCCCATGTAAGGAAATCCACTACCAGATCCTGAGGCTTCTAGGTCCAGGTGGTGGGAGCCCTGCATTCACATTCCTTCCAGCTGAGAGAGGAGGCTTGGGGACAGAAAAAAGAGGGTAAATGCCTTGATTCTGAGGTGCAACTCAGGCCTCTGTTGGGGGCCATCATTAGAGTGAGGTTTACACAGAGATTTCATTTTTATATTTTAGTCTAACATGTTAGTTTTTGGGAAAAAAGTTAATTAAATGATGCTGATAACTCCTGAGCTCTGACTGACATAGTGCAATTTAAGATTCAGTCTGTAAAGCCTGGTGTGTCAGGGTGGCAGCCGGGAATTCTCGCGTCTATTTTATATTGCTTAATGAAAGTGAAATGCTATCTGCCACCAGTGGTAGACACATTTGCCTCTTAATTATTGCAATATCAATTTCATTTTTTTAAACTCAAGATTTTGTGAGAAGACTGGATGGGATTTGGGTCTGCAGTTCTGACCTACTTCTTTTCTGAGAACATCTGCTTTAAGTTGATTACTGTATCAGTGTTAGGGGAAGAGGACAGGAGGGGAGGGGGACCAAGGCACAGGATGGTGTGGAGTTTGATAGACCATGTGGATATGAGCTTTGGATAAAGGCTGAGGTCACAGTTCTTCCAGTCTAGGGCAGGAAACAAGCCCAAAACAACATCACCCCTTAGTCAGTTCTTGCAAAGGAGTACAGATGGCCTACTTTTGACGGACTGGCTTAGGCTTCGCACACCCTCAACAACACAGACCTTCGGGCACACCCTTTAAGGGAAAAGTGCTGCCTCCAGTTTAAGGCACTGAGATAGATTAGCATTTCATATAGAAGAGTCTAGGAGTCTCTGCAAAGGGTTCAGGGACTCTCCAGGGCTCCCTAGCCTATCTCCCAGAGCTGTCATCACCCTGTCTTGTGATTTATGTGTATGTGCTGGTCTTTTCCACGTCTCTGAGAGCAGGATGAGACTTACACATATCTGCACTGCTGATATTCATAGGAAGGGCTGGGGAAATGAGTCTTTGAGTGCAGGGAGCATGGGATGAGGTTGCTTCCCTTGGCCATGGACTAGCTGCATCCCCCTATGTTCTGTCCAAAAGTCTGAAGCTCCAGACAGTTGGGAGCACTGTTGACCTTTCCATTCTTGCACCTTTTGTGTCCTCTCTTTTCCCTTTCAAGTAGAGTGGAGTTGGGCTGGGCATAGTTTTCCTGTTGCTGTTCTCAGTACAGAGACATTAATTTGGGATACATTTAGTTGAGTTCTAGAGGGATGTGGTTAGGTGGTACAGTACCTTCAGCATCTAGCTAAATTATTGCCAGCCATTCTGTCATAAGAATGGCTTTTGGGAATGCTTTCTGTCCTACTGTGTTGATTCATGTAGCATCTTTGTTGGGCATGTGAGAGCCACTGCAGAATTCATCCTTCATGGTTATATGTACATTAATGACAAAATGATGAATGAACATCAGTTCAAAGAACTTTACAAGATAATGTGAAATGCCCAGAAATATTACAAAGGAAACCTGATGGAGGTTTCTCTAAGTTTTATACTTCCTACAACTTCATGTTTTCAACAACTAATTGTGAACATGGCAGCAAGTTTTTTTTTAATTTATTAATAATCTGAAACCAATTTTGATCGGTTATGTGGGAGGAAAGACTTGACAAGTCTGTTCGTTCTATAGGTAACAAACCAGAAAATAAACTGTCACATAAAAAATAATTAAAGAGCTGGGTGTGGTAGCACTTGGGAAGTGGAGGCAGAAAGATCTGGAATCCATGGCCATCCTTGACTAAGTAGCAACAAGTTCGAGGCCAGCCTGGGCATTGAGACCCTCTTTTAACCCCCCCCAACAACAACAATAATCCCAAGACAAAACAAATGAAAACAACGACAAAATTATCTGAAGATAATCAGAGGGGTATGGGAAAAAATTAAGTATCAGGGAAGCGGAATAGGAGTCAGTTAATACAAAGTATCAGGTCGTTTATGCTTGGTGATGTTTGGGATTCCTGTGGCTTTTAAAAGATTTGCCATTTTGTTTTCTTTTTTTCTCATCTTAAATAATTTTGTTTCATTTTTTATTTCCTCTCATCCAAGTACTACCTAGACCTGGCCTTCCTTAGCCTCCAAGTCCAGATGAGATTCAGATGGTCAGGGTAAGACAAGGGGAGGTTCTCTTTCCCTTAATTCCATTACTTATTATTATCATTATTGTCTGTATCTGTGTATGTGAGTGCTGTGTGTCTGGGCATGAGTACAGGCATTCACAGGCTGCAGAATGTTTGCACAGAGGTCAAAGGACAGCTTTTGGAGTTGATTCTATCTTTCCACAGTAGGTTCTAGGGAATGAACTCAGGTCATTGGCCTTGTGCAGCAAGCACTTCTGTCTACTTAGACACCTCACTGGCGCTCACTTTTCGTTTTCAGTTTATAATGTGCTTCTCATTTTTAAGAGGGACCTCTTAAAATTGTATTAGCTTTCAGCCCCATGAGCTTAGATCTGTCCTTGGTCAAAGGACTTTAAAAACAGAGCTAAGAGGGAGCCAATACTGTTTGGAGACATGGTGAGTACTATTATTCTGGGTTGGGGGCTTTATTTGCTTTCCTTTCGTGATGCTCATCTCCACAGTTGACAGGAGGGAAGCCGGCATCCTCTCCAATTGCAGTCACACTGTGCATCCTCATTCTCAGAAGGTGCTGCTGGCTGTAGTTACACTGTCCATCCTCACACTCAGTGGGGTCCAGCTGGCTGTAGTCACATTCTCCATCCTCACACTCAGTGGGGTGATCCCCTGTTTAACTCTCAGGTCAAGATTGTCTTTTGGGATTCTGTGGACTTTCAGCATCTGTTGCTTTTGCCCTCCTCCCCAGGCTCCTACTTTGTCCACATCTCTGCCTCCTCCAGCACTAACACATCTATGCTGGACAATCTCTCACCCTGAAGAATG